TTCCCACACACTCTTTCGAAAAACGCACCGACGATGGCATTTCCGTTATTATTATTATAACGGTCACACGACCCTAACGTGGCCGCTTTTTTCTACCTTTTAAAAATCCCCAAATACTCCTTCTTCTTCTTCTTCTTCTTCTTCTTCTATTCCATTCCCTTTCTATTTTTAACTCCTTCACTCTCTTTTCTTGCTTCTTCACGCAGTCATGGCTTCGTCTTGCATCACTCTCCTCTTCCTCTTCCTCTTCGTCCTCTATTCAACAGAAGCTAAGATGACCTATATCGTCCGAGTTAAACACTCCGATAAACCCGGCTCGTTCGAAACTCACCACGATTGGTACACTTTTCAGCTCGAATCACTCTCATCTCAATCTAAATCGGAATCTCCTCTTCTCTACACTTACACAACCTCCTTCCATGGCTTTTCCGCTTTTCTCGACTCCGAGGAAGCCGATTCCCTTCTCCGCTCCGATTCAATCCTCGATGTCTTCGAGGATCCCGTCTACACGCTTCACACAACTCGTACTCCGGAATTTCTCGGTCTCAATTCCGAATTCGGTGTCGCAGCTGGGTACACTGGTCAGGATCTAGGTCAAGCCTCTAATAGTGTGATTATCGGTGTTTTGGATACTGGTGTTTGGCCTGAATCCAAGAGCTTCGATGATTTCGGTATGCCGGAGATTCCGTCTAAGTGGAGAGGAGAGTGTGAATCTGGAACAGATTTCGATTCGAAATTGTGTAACAAGAAGCTGATCGGAGCTAGAAGCTTCTCTAAAGGGTTTCAGATGGCTTCGGGGGGTGGATTCTCAAGCAAACGCGAGTCTGTTTCTCCCCGTGATGTCGACGGCCATGGAACTCATACTTCGAGTACTGCCGCTGGATCCGCCGTGAGAAACGCGAGCTTCCTCGGTTACGCCGCCGGTACGGCGAGAGGGATGGCGACGCGTGCTCGTGTGGCTACTTACAAGGTATGTTGGAGTACGGGATGTTTCGGATCTGACATCCTCGCCGCCATGGATCGAGCGATTTTAGACGGCGTCGATGTGCTTTCTCTCTCTCTCGGCGGCGGCTCGGCTCCTTATTTCCGTGATACGATTGCGATCGGGGCGTTTTCCGCCATGGAGAAAGGCGTTTTCGTCTCTTGCTCAGCCGGAAACAGCGGTCCGACTCGAGCCTCCGTCGCGAACGTCGCGCCGTGGGTTATGACTGTTGGTGCCGGAACACTGGATCGAGATTTTCCGGCGTTCGCGAATCTCGGGAACGGGAAACGTCTCACCGGAGTTTCGCTTTACAGCGGCGAAGGAATGGGGACGAAACCGCTCGAATTGGTTTACAACAAAGGAAACAGCAGCTCGAGCAATCTCTGCCTCCCTGGGTCGCTTGATCCCACGACGGTGCGAGGCAAGATCGTGGTCTGCGACAGAGGCGTTAACGCCCGTGTTGAGAAAGGAGCTGTGGTGAGAGACGCAGGAGGTTTAGGGATGATAATGGCGAACACGGCGGCTAGCGGTGAGGAGCTTGTGGCGGATAGTCATTTGCTTCCGGCGATTGCTGTTGGGAAGAAGACAGGTGATCTCCTTAGGGAATACGTCAAATCGGATGCTAATCCAACGGCTGTTCTTGTTTTCAAAGGAACGGTTCTTGATGTTCGTCCTTCTCCTGTGGTTGCTGCTTTTAGCTCGAGAGGCCCAAACACTGTCACACCGGAGATCTTGAAACCTGACGTCATTGGTCCCGGAGTTAACATCTTGGCTGGTTGGTCCGACGCTATTGGTCCCACGGGTCTTGAGAAGGACTCGAGGAGGACCCAGTTCAACATCATGTCAGGTACTTCACGGGTTTAAAGATTCAATTTGGAAACTTGGCTTTGTTTGCATATTCAATGATTGATTTTATTGGTCATGGAGTTTGGGAGATTCCATTTATTATGTTTCAATTGCAAAAGAGAGAATTTTTAATTCGACTACACCAGTATTGCAAAGAGATCATAAAAAACGGATGATTTTGATTACGTATTAGGTTATTAATTACTTCTGGTCATAAAGAGGGACTTGGGAGATTTCGTTTTGTTTTTGACATGAAAGGTGTTTTGATTCTTGTTAGGTACGTCAATGTCATGCCCACACATCAGTGGATTAGCTGGTCTTTTGAAAGCAGCTCACCCTGAGTGGAGCCCAAGCGCCATTAAATCAGCACTCATGACCACAGCTTACACTCTTGACAACACAAACTCTCCTCTTCGTGATGCTGCAGACAACAGCCTCTCGAACCCATATGCTCATGGCTCGGGCCATGTAGATCCTCAAAAGGCTCTCTCACCGGGGCTTGTCTACGATATCTCGACGGAGGAATACGTCAGGTTCTTGTGCTCTCTAGACTACACAGTAGATCACATTGTGGCGATTGTGAAACGACCTAGCGTTAACTGCTCGAAGAAGTTCGCTAATCCTGGTCAGCTCAACTACCCGAGTTTCTCAGTTTTGTTTGGGGGCAAAAGGGTTGTGCGGTACACACGCGAGGTTACCAATGTGGGTGCAGCGAGTTCTGTTTACAAGGTGACGGTTAATGGGGCGCCTAGTGTCGGGATCTCGGTTAAACCGTTGAAGCTTTCGTTTAGAAGTGTGGGAGAGAAGAAGAGGTACACGGTCACTTTTGTTAGCAAGAAGGGAGTGAGTTTGACAAACAAAGCTGAGTATGGATCCATCACTTGGAGCAATCCGCAGCACGAAGTGACAAGTCCGGTGGCATTCTCTTGGAACCGGTTTTGATATATATATATATATATATATATATATATATATATATTTTTTTAAAAGGTACAACAAAACACAAATCTAACATCCCTAGTGATGTTTTCTATCTAAGTTTATTTACTGTTCGGGAAGATATCGGTTCCTAGATGATTGGGTTTAGGCTAAACCAAAACACATCCTGCGCTATATGATGGGAAATGTTCTTGTTTGGTTTGGTTTGGTGTGATTTGAGTGTGTAGGTGAAGGAATCCCAAAAAGTTTGGGATGGGTAGAAGAAAATGATGTCAAGGAAAGAACGTTGTTGTTATATGTATTCTTGTTTAAAAGTTTTTCAGTTTAACTATATACTGATGTAATCTCTATAATATTATTTGAGAAGTCGTCAAACAATCGAAAAAATCAATGTATTTACGCTGAATGCCACTCAGTGATTAACTAAAATGTGTTTGGCAACATGTTTAATTAGGAACAAAACCGGCGAGTTCACTGAGTAAACTCAGTTAAGATGAATCGTTCTATGTCCAAACAAAAAAGTCTGATCTATTAATTCATTATGAAACACGCGGATCCTTTTCTACTTGATTTAAATCAGTTTTTGTAAGCTGAAATAACTGTTAAACAACCGGTTAGACTAATAAATTTGGAATTCAAAATATGTGAATATCTCGACCTAAATATATGGCAACTGCTATATGTATTTTCGTTCACTCATCTAAACGGTATCCTAAATTACTATTTACTATCTAACATTTAACTCAGATCCTAACTAAATATTCTTAACAAACCATACCGAACTATATCATAAAATATCAGAATATTCTAATCAATCTATATATTCCTTCCTATGGCAATCTAATCAATCTCAAATATGTAACAAGATATATTTTTAACTAATCTGTTTACCTTTAGTCATGACAGATTTGAAAGATCTTGCTATAATAATGAAGATCTCTAAATATTGGCGAGTATATTCTTTCAAAAAGATTTCAAATTAACCTAATTGATTACATATAAATAGAAAAAACAGGTTAACATGTCTCCATACCTTTTTATGCAATCCTAAGAAATCGCTTCTAAACTTCCAATAACTTCTGTTCAAAATATTAAGCCCTTCAAATCTAGTTGGAGGATTCAAGTCAAAATCCTGGACATTTGGAAGCAGTTTGCTTTCGCGACAGGAGAATCTATGGAAATGATTTTAGTCGACAAAGAGGTAATTTATCTTAATATAAGAAACTTAAGTCCTTATGATGTTAGCTAAAACATTTTATAATTTTTGACAGGGTACGAGAATTCATTGTTCTATTAAGAAACAACACTTGAAGAGATACGAGAACCATCTATCTGTAGGAAGCTGGAAATTCATTGAAGAGTTCAACGTTACCAATTCAATTGGACAATACAGAACTACCAAACATTGTTACCGGATTAGTTTTGTCAAAGACACAATTGTCTCTAATTCTGTAACCGTGTCAAACTCTGAATTCTTGGACTTGGTCCGCTTCAGTCAAATTCATGAAGGAATACAGAATCAGAGCATCTTTTGTGGTAACAAATTTCATCACACAATTATATTATCTGATTTACACTATATATTTCTAACCTAATATGTTAAATTTTTTTAGATATTCTCGGCCAGATAGTGAATGTGGGGCAACTGTCTACGATGCATGTCAATAACAAGGACGCAAAGAAAATTAATTTCGAACTAAGGGATGAGCAGTAAGTATTAGTAATCTGTTTCTTTTAAACTCATATATGTTATGTTAATGTTATGCATCGATAATTCCGAGTTATATTGAGGATTTACTTTGAGTTAATGTTATAACCTAAAAATAGATTCAGTGATATGCGTCTAAGTTGTACCTTATGGGGAAATTTTTCTGATCAAATCGTCGAAGCCACTTCCAATAATGAGACTGAAAAACTAATTTGTCTCATTAGATTTGGAAAAATTAAAGAGTTCAGAGGTACACTTTCTTCATTATCCAGTTAGAAGCTTCACTATTTTCAAATCTGTATTTCTTACTTCTATTTTGTCTATTACCTTCAGACATAAAAAGTGTTTCCAACACTTCTGATGCCAGTTTAGTCATTATAAACCCGCCTGGAGCACAAATTGACCAGTTTTTGGATGCGTGAGTGCCTATATATTTGAAATGATCTGAGATAATGTACACTTGAATTTGTCTATTAATACTTCCTATGGTTTCATGACATTCAAATTTTGATTGCAACTTACCAGATGATGGCTTGGCTTTTACTCTGTTGGAAACCAAACCTAAAAAGGAAATACTGGCAAAGACGGAGGATTACTGGAACCAGTTTCCTATGGTCACGGTTGCTGAACTAAAAGAATTAACCGAGGTATTTATTCAATCATCTCATGCATAATAGGCTATGTATTTGACAAAGCTTTAAAATATACAATTTAATAGTGTTCCTTGAATGTTTCTTGCAATTTGTTAGGTGGGCAAAGTAAGGATCCTTTGCAAAGTTTACGCCATTGACACTGACTGGGGATGGTATTATTTTGGGTGCAAAATCAAAAATCATAAAAAGGTTAGAAAGATCATGGCAGGAACTAATGGTGTCGTAGTTCTCGGAGGGATACCTAGATAGCATTGTAATGAATGCAATAAGACTGTCACGAATGTTGTGCCCAAGTAAGTGACCTAACTTCTTTATTGAACACACCATAAGTCTATGATAATAGTCACGATTTCATCGTTTTCTTATGTCAGGTTCAAGCTGCATCTGAAGGTTATGGATACAACAAGTGAGATTACTATATTGTTATTCGATACATCGGTAAGTGAGATGTTAAAATGCCAAGCATCAGAATTACTCAACGGATCATTCGATGAGCTATCTAAATTTTATTATCTTTAAATTTAGCATGTAATTTAATTGGTAGACCTTTGATTGCATTGGAAGTTCTTCAATTAAGTTTAACATGTGTTCTATGATACATCGGCAAGTTAGATTTTGAAATGTTAAGTGTCAGAATTATTTAGTTGTTTATTTACTTGTGTTCTATAATATTGTATTGCTTAGATTGAAGATCCTGAAGAAATCCCAGAAACATTAAAGAACTTAGTCGGAAAAACTTTTCAGTTTGTTCTTGCTGTTGATAAGGAGAATCTCGGTGGTGGTCACAATACTTTCAAGGTTTCAAAGATTTTGAGTGACAAGGGGATGGTTGAAGATTTAACTGTTGATGATTCAGAAAAGCCAGTGAATATTTCAGAACTAGTTTCTGGTGATGAGGTATACTTTTATTATAATTTTAAGATACAAATTTATATTTAAATGGGCACTTCATTAATCTTAGTCTATTGTTTTTTTTTTCTACAGGGTTTGTTGACTCTTACTAACACAGAGTCAATTGTCGATGATGAAATTCCAAACCAAGTTACCCCTACTTCGAAGAGAAAAGTTGACCCTATAATTGAAGTCCTGGAAGACTAACATTCAGCAAGTAAGAAGCAATGCAAACTTCAGGTCAAAATTGAGAAGTTTGGAAATGAAAGCAAAAGTGGCTAATGTTGAGTTATAGTTATTTGTTCTAAGTGATTTTTTGGTATTTTGTTACTATTTTTCTAAGTTTTTCACTGCGTGCATTTTACCATAAAACAATCCACTTCAACTCTATTTTAATTGCTTCAAGTATCTTATTTTGCCATAAAACTATTTTTCTAAGTTTTTCACTGCGTGCATTTTGGAGGAGATTTATTTGTGATTTTAATTCTCTACACTGTTCTAAATTGGCAGTTGTGATTATCAATAACATTGGATCAAAAAATATGGATATATGTTACATACCTAATTCACTTTGTTGTTACATATATGAATAAGAAAACTTACCGAGAAATGAAACTTGGACAATGTGTTATTTTCGTATCACATCTTTCCCGATTTTTAACCAATGCAATTAAATGTACCTGACAAAAAAAAAAATTGTTACTCGAGATTCATTAATAGATACATATATGGTTATCCAATATTTAGATATTATAACGAGAGGCATCAATTGCGTCTTTTCAATTGATGTCTTTTGGGTTATTGATAATTCTAAATATGAATTTAAGATGCATCTTTTCGATATTATCGAAAACCCTAATCGTCGAAGCGTCTATATATATATGAAGGAAGACCTTAAGTGCTTTTATTACCCGAAACCTCTCATTATTCTCTCTGTCTTTTAAACCATTAGTTTTGTTTCAGTTAAGTATGGATGGTATTTTTAACAATATCATGAATTTAAACCAGTGGAGATCTAACTGGTACATTCGTATCATGGTTTTTAAGTCATGGGAATCCCAATCTCAAGGTGAAACCGAAGTGTTAAACTTCATCTTTGTCGATGAAGAGGTATGTTTTACTTCGTCACATTCTATATAGTAGTGTTCTTTTAGTAATATGTTTGTCTAATGTATAGTTTATTAAAATTTTGTAGGGTGATAAAATTCATGCTATATGCACTGATCTTCAGAACCAGCCTTATTACAAAACAAAACTAATTGTTGGTAAATGGTTTAAGTTGCATCATTTTACTGTCTTTGAAAGTGATGCAGTTAATCGTTTGGTCGATTGCATGTGGAAAATTTGTCTACTCGACAACACTGATGTGAGGAAAGAGTATGATGTAACTGATGAGCATTACATGAAATTTACAAGTTTTGATGATGTTATAGCTGGAAGATTCAACCGTGGCGTACCTCTTCGTAAGTATTTTTAGTTTTTTCTAAGTTTAATTTTTGTTTACATAAATTCTTACTTAACATATTATTATTTTTCGTCTTATTTATCAGATGTGTTGGGTAGGATATCTATGCTTACAGATATTGTCAAAATAAAAGATTCGGACTTTGTCCCTGTGTGTCCTGTCAATACATGCCATCTCGAATTTGCTATTCAGAACACACAGTACATTTTAATTTGATATATACAATTGATAATCATGAATGATCTTAATTTAAAGTTCACATAGGTTCAAACTGCATCTCACTATTATATGTGTTGTGTCTTTGTTAATAATTAAAATTTTATTTCACAGAGGGACAAATCTAACTTGCGTTGTTCATGGAAAACTTGCCCTTGAAATTACTAAGAAATGGTGGAATTTCAATTCGAACAATATGGTAGTAATCCTAAGTGATTTTTGTGTGGTCAATGTTGGAGGTATGTTGTAAAATATAATTGTTGATGTTAATTAAAAATTTTAAAATTGTACACTTTTAGCGAGTTATATGTTATTCTTTTTATATAGAAAATGTTCGTCTGATTGATGCAGGAGAAGTATCAAGAGTCTTATACGATCCAGACATTTCTGAGGCCAGAAGGTTCAAGCGTACATTGTAAGTAGTATAAACATTATCCGACTTTTTTATATTTTCTCATATTTGATTCTTACAACCATTTACGCATGTTGTTTTTCATTCTTTCAGAAATGGCAATGATGAAGATTCTGAATAGCATATTTTGAGGGTTTTACCAGTTCCTATCATTAAGAAACTTTATTTTCAAAGATATTCTCTTATGGTCTACCTTTTCTTATGCATTTCAATATGTTGAACAATTTAATATTTTCGAGGATAAGTACTACATTTTATTCAGATGATTTCTGGTTTTTCTTTTACGACTTTTGTTAGTGGTTGTCTAATATACGTTTTGAATAATTAAGAAAATACCAATTTCGTGGCAAAATGTATAACCAAGTTATGGAGAGATTTGATACCTACAAATCGGCAATCTGAGAGTACCACCGTCGCCAGACACTAAACACACGATCTCGATGATTTTAATTGTCACCTACAACAATCATACAAATTTGAGTTAGTTGTATGACAATTTTACAAGTGTGAGAAAGAGATATTTAAAATCATCTTACCAACATATGAAATGACAATTACATTGGTCTATATTTCATTTTGAATTTTTGTACCTCCTCATATGATATGTTACACTTACACTTTACAATGAAACAAAGAAAATTAGCCAAACATTTAACTATTTTTCTAAGTTGTTCACTGCGTGATTTTGCTATAAAACACACCACCTCAACTCTATTTTACCTTCTTCAAGTATCTTGTTTTGTCTAGCTTATTCACAACTCTTTAATTGCTTTTTTATGTATAAAACGTTATCTAATTTATTTGATATAGACGCTTCTCTACAATGTTCTAAATTGGCTTTTTATTATCCATAACACTGGATCGAAAAATATCTATATACATTACATACCTAATTCGCTTTGTCGTTACATATTTTTTCTTTCATGTTTATTCTTCAAACTTCACCTTGGTATTTACAATCCGCATAGTAACGATTCTTTTGCTGTCAAAATAAACCAGTTAATGAAAAAGTATTGTTACTTTCAAAATATAATCATGAAAGCTTTTACTATTTTATCTGAAAAGATTTTAATGTGGAAACTTACCAAGAAATGAAACCCTGACAGTGTGTTATCGTATCACATCTTTCCCGTTTTTTTAAAAATGCAATCAAAGGTACCTGTCAAAATAAAGTAATTTTGTTACTCGAGATACGGCCGACAATATCGAATAAAGAGATATCAACCGATATATAATTGTGTATCACGTTAACCTACAATATCTCCCACTATATATACGGCCTCAACTCATAGCAGTTCTATCATGTTCTAAAAAAAAAAACTACCCCTTATACTTGAGAAATTTCCACAAATTCAAGCAATGTCTGACTATGACAAAATCATAGATCTGCATCCATGGAAATCCAATTGGAAAATGCGTGTTAAAGTTCACAGAAAATGGAAGACAATTGCGATCAACAAAGAAGAGTCTATCCATTTCTTATTGGGTGATGAACGTGTAAGTTTGGATCTTATATATTTCAAACAAAATAGCATTTTTCTTAAAGTTCTTATAAATTTATGAGATTGATTTAGTTTATGGTCGATTTCAATCTGCTAATTTTAAAGCTTTTTTCGGAAAACATAATTGATTTAGGGAGACAAGATCCATGCTGTTTGTAACTGGGTGTGGTTGTATGCCTATTTCGACAATGTCATGCATGAATGACAGTGGAAAAAAATCAGCAACTTTACCGTTGTTGGTGTCGCTAATGTGCAGCGTTTAACTGACACACAGAAGGAAATTCATTTCCTTGAGAACACAGATGTTAAGCGATCTAACTATAACTCCGAAGAGTACTATCTGTCATTCAAAGCATTTGATGATATCTTTCATCCTGGTGTACGCATAAATCTCCATGTTGGTACAAAGCCCTTTATTTATGGTTTTAAGATCTTCATATAGATGTCATGGGGAGAATCACTAATGTCGATAATCTAGAGTTAGTCCATGATGACATATTTGCAGCTGATTATCCTAAATTGAATTGTCGTCTGAGATTTAGGATCGTCAATAATGAGTAAGTATTTATTGTTAATGATTAAAATTTCCTTAAGTATACATATTGTACTAGGTGATCGGCCCGCACCGTGTGCGGACTACAAAACATTTTATATGTTTAATATATGATTCATATTGTATATTAAGGATACTCTGTTTGTACATGATATATATTTTTCCTTGATCTATTTTTAATTAAACTAAAATAGATTTTACTATCTTTACTTATCCTAAGAGCGAGTAGATGGTTGGTCCGCACATTCGTGCATACCAACCACCTCACCGCTCTTAGGACATATAAATATTTTACAAAAATATAAACTGTCTAATAATTTAAATTAAAATTGGACTGCAATCGAGGTTAACAAAATGCATGCACGACATGTTCGCATGCGACTTTGACTTTTGCATAATTAATATTTATATTCACACGCACATTTGTGGAAAAATCGAAGTATGACTTTTATGTGTTAAAAGAAAATAACAAACTATATGTTTTGTAATATATATATTTATAATATGTTATGATTGAATTTTAATAAAAAAAATATGTATATATATGCATGTAAGTATGAGCTAGAAATAAGTGAATTGTAATATGTAGGTGTTGGTTAATTTTTTTGATATTTTCCACAAACGTTATGTTTTTACACGATGCAGTTTTTGGCGTTTAACAACAATCAAGAAAATCATTTCTATCGTTTAATATTTAATCAAAAATTCTTATTTTTCAGCGTTTTATGATATATGGATTCAACTTAAAAATTATATTATATATTAACCAAAGTTAAAAAAAACTCTAAAATACATTAAAATATAATATTTGACTTAACCATGAAGATAAATATTGTACATTGGATAATCTATTAGTAACTTTCCTTTTCAATAAAACTTATAATAAATATTTTGTTATAAAATTTGTAAAATCATATTTTATAAAATTCCCTGGTAGCTCTCCGTTCATCTCTTTGTCCAATATTGGGTGTTAGAGCAGAAAATTGTTTATGCTTGATTTTCATGCATTTTATTATAAATTTTGGTATGTACATGTGTTCATTAAAAATAATGCGT